GATTGTTTTTCAAAAGATTATTCAATGAACTATATCATCTATTTTTTTTCTTTAATTAATGCATATCAGCTGTTGGGGTATAATTGTATTGAATGCTGAGCTGAAGTCGATGAACAGCATTCTCACATAAGAGTTTTTTTTCTCCAGGTGAGTGATGGCTGGGTGCAGAGCTGAGTTGATGGCGTCCTCTGTGGAGCGCCGGGGTCTGTATGCGAATTGAAAGGGGTCCAGGGTGGGGGGGAGGATGGATTTGGCCCCTCAGCCGGCCCAAGCCAAAACCACGGACCAGGTGGCTCACTCTTCCTCCAGGCCCCAGACTAGGGGTGGCAGCCGGAGAACAGGGGTGTGAGAAGACCCCTATCCTCCCTGCGCCTGCTCAAATGTGGTGTTGTTGCGTGTTGCACTCAGATGTAATTAAAACTAGGAGTACAAAGAGGGGGTGTTCAGCACAGTCCAGCCACCTTCCAGGAGATAGGCGGAGCCAGCGCACCTCCCCCATTCAACAACCCTGAACCCTCAATGTCTAGATGCGAAAGGGGATGGAGGAAGCCAACCGTGGTGAGGCCCATAAAATAAGCCTTCCCCGGGTGGCCATGACCCCCACCTTCCAGAAAATATCCTATGTAGATGTGTGTTGTGAAAGTGTTGTAGATGGAAGTGTCTAAAATGCAAAATAAAATTGGGGTGGGGGACATCATCAGAAGGTGGGGCAAACTGGAGGGGAAAGTGAGATTTTGACTGTTTTTTTTTTCCAGCTGCACTGACTGTGAGTCCCAGCAGATCTCAGTTCTTTGAAGGAGACTCTGTGTCTCTGAGCTGTGAGGAGAACAGCAGCTCTGCTGGATGGACTGTATGGAGGAACACAACCAGAGGAACCAGGTCTCAGTGTGGAAAGGAATGGGGGAAACTAGATGGTTCTACCTGTAACATCAACGGATTGGTCTCAGCAGACAGTGGAGTTTACTGGTGTGGGTCGTCCAGAGAGGGAGCAGCTAGCAGCAGCATCCAGCTCACTGTCACTGGTAAGATCAGACTGTGGAGTTAGTGTTGATGAATCTGTGTGGAAATGGATGAAATGCTGTAGTTTGTCTCTGTGTTTAGGTGGATCAGTGATCCTGCAGTCCTGTCCTCCCTTTGATGGAGGGAGATGACGTCACTCTGAGCTGTCAGAATAAGACTTCCTCCAACCTCCCAGGTGATTTCTATAAAGATGGCTCCCTCATCAAGACTGAGCCCAAAGGTCACATGACCCTCCACCATGTGACCAGCTCTGATGAAGGCCTCTACAGGTGTAACATCAGTGGTCAAGGAGATTCTCCATGCGCTTGTCTAACTCTACTGAGTGTGTCTGTGATAATCCTTACCAACAATAAAATGGCCTTTTAATTTAAAAGCTATTAAAATAAGAAGCTGAAAAACAAAAACAATCAGGAACATAAAAAAAGGAAATAATAAAGGACGATTCAAGAATCACCAATGAAAAGTCACTACATTTCTGCTGGAGGCAGAATTAGCATCTGACCTGACTAGCAAACTTTTTTTTTTTTTTTTTTCTGACGAGCAACTCTGAGGCAGGAGTTTTCTGTTCACATCACTTTACGTCTGAAAATGGATCGACTGCAAGACTCTAAAGTAAGTAGCCTACTTTTACTCTTATAAGTGGCATAGTAGCACAGGCACATTTAGTAGGGTTAAACAAGCGCACCCTTTCTGAGGCTGTCGTTCTATTGGCTGGAAAGGTTGCTAGGCGACGATCCGACTGCAATCTGAGAGAGAGCAAAAAAA